TTACCTGATGGTAAGCAATCAACGCCGCCGTGGTCACCCGCAACAACAAAGGAGTTTCGAGTGCTACCATTAGGGTAGGGGAAGGATTGGGCCTCCGGTAACCTCACTCACACAGCGAAACACAACGCTGTGGTTGTTTCACGTTGATTTTCTGTGAGGTCGTGGTACCACTCCGGCCGAGCCGACCCATTTGTGCCGAAGCATGGCTTTCCCACACTTTAACTTTCTGAATCACTGTGTAAGTGTTCTATATACATTTTGTGCTAGTATTTTTGTCTATAATTGTATATCCAAGTAGGTATTTGCAAAGTATGATTAATGTACAACTATTGTTTGATTCAAAGTTCTTTGTTTTCATTTCTTTTCTTTTCGTTCTAACAATGTGGTTTTGTTTCATATTGAAGTTGAAATGTAATTAAATTGTTCCTTTTGTATTCAATTTTGAAATTCTCAGACACATTGTTTGAATGTGTGGATGAAATAAAATAGAAAGAGATAGAAAAACGCAAAATAAAACATGTTTTATGGTATGCGACGGCAATCGAATAACCTGACCTGTTGGTAAGCTATCGGGATCGCCCAGCGACAGCAGCCACAGAAGTGTAACTCTGCTTAACTTTCAACTCTTTAAGGGTTGTCAAAGATTTGGGGATTGAGTAACGAAAGGAAGAGGACTAAGTCATACATGCGCTGATGAACATCTATGTATAACAGAAAATGAAGAATACTTATATATAGCAATGGGCTGATATAAGTCGATGTTCTAAGTGCAATAGGCTATAAAATATCAGGCTACAGTAAAATAGAGCCGAGCAGCGGGTGAAACCGCGCGAGTAAGTTATATATTGTTAGACCTTCATAAGTGTCTTGATTTCGTCTTCTTGGATATAGATACATGTTTAATGGATATAAATGGATACATATTTAATAATACTGTTGTTTCCAACTAGTCAAATTCAATACTTTTATCCAAATGTCAAAAACGATACTTTTCTATGAAAATTGTATGAAACATTGAATTATGACGTCATAGCATTTTTGCGTCAAATAGCTTACTTATTTTTAAAAAATTAGCTAAAAAATATCTAAAACTTAGTGTATCGATCGATCGATGAATAAAAGTATAGTTATTTTTCAATATTTTATCATATTAAAACGTCGAAATAATTTATTTTTGACCTAGGAAACTACCCATTTCTGACGGTAAGTAATCAGTGCTGCCTAATGACATGTTTTGAGGGAAGGAGTGCTTCTGGTAAACTCACCTATAAAACCAAACAACACAAGAGTTGTTTTGCGCTGGATTTCTGTGATTTTTTCCGATCGAGCAGGCCCATTTGAATGGCCCTCCAACGCCTCAGTTACTGAAATAATTTCTAAAGACTTTATCCTTAAAATAAGTAATTGTTTTTACAAGTAAAAATGGTCATCATGGACTGTTCTTCGTTAATAATTAATACGTCGACCAGTTCTCATTAGCAAGAAAGCCTTTTGTACAAACGTCAGATTCTGCAATTCAAGTAATCGCTATAATGAAAATTGTCTCAAGCTATTAAATGAGAAATATCTTCAGTATCATTTTCTTAAATTAAATCTACTCATTCAGTGAGAGTAATGAATTCGAAATAGGTAAGTATATTATTTTTTGTAATAGATATATTAATAAAAAAAATATAATGCGTTTTAAAAAATATTATTTAGTAAAAGTACTTATATGTTTTAACTAAAACGTTGCTCTACTTTAGGATTTTCTCCTGTGTCGTGAAAAATACAGCAAATACACAAGCTACCCAGACGCGAAACAACAATTTTAGGATCAAACAAAGTGCTGTTCCGTGCAAGAATCGAACTCGCGACACCTTGTTCAGCAGCCAGTTGCCCAGCCACTGCGCCAACCGTGCATTAAATGATAAATATGTTGAGTATATACTTAAATCTATTCTCTCAGTAAAACTCTCCAGAACCGTTTTTTTTGTGGTGGGAAAATCATTTACTGAATTCTGTCGCTCTGGGGATGACAAGGGTAGTGTTAAACTGATACTGTCTAACAACCATCTCGTACATTCTGCTCCAAGCCGAGTGCACTTGCAGTCCCAGTTGGATATTGGCTCTAATGGGCGATTACTAAATTAGCGAAATTGAATGGATTCAAAAAATGATAATTTGTGATGGCAGTCAGTAGTAATTTGAACTGAAAATTTGTTCAAGATGACTCAATTATGAATCGGTCGAAAATGCGAAATAATAAGTGGTTATTAACGGTAACATCCAAATCCAAAACCTAACTATATTTATATTATAAATGCAAAAGTAACTCTGTCTATCTGTCTGTATATCTATCTGTCTGTCTGTCTTTTCCTCACGCCTAAACTACTGAACCGATTTCTGTGAAATGTTGTACAGACATAGTTTGGAACTTGAGAAAAACATAGTTTTTATACAAAAAATCTGCAAGCCGTCGCTATCCCACGCGGACGGCGTCGCGGTTAAAAGCTAGTGGAAAATAAAACAAATCGATTTAATTTCATTACAATTTAATGATAAAATATTAGCCTATTCTATGAGATCGATGTTTGTGTGTTTTGTACAGACCAGCTCATCAAGCTACCCTAAAGTAACAACCTTTTGTTCTCGTATTAAAGTCGATAATTAATTGCAAGTTTGGAAAAAAGTGTAGCTTGTTGTGATGGCTATACTTAGACGATACATAATTGTTTTTGTATAAAACAGTATCTATTTACAAATCGTCGTTTTAATACTATGACAATGATTTTTAATATTATTTACATTTTTCCTTATACGTTCCCAAGGTCATTTTTAGTAAGCTATTGTATTATTGTAATTCACTCTTATTTTTAATGGAATAGGACGTCAAACGAGAAGGCGGATTACCTGGTGGTAAGCAATAGGTCTGTAACGAGTGGCCTTATAAGAGGTCCATGGGCGGCGCTGACTGCTTACCATCAGGTAATCCGTCAGCTCGTTTTCCGCTCTATAACTCAATAAATTTGGAATTTAGAATCGGAAGATAGAGCCGACAGTAAACTACACTGTCATATATTTTTTTTTATTTCAAATTATTGACATTTTTGAATGTATTTTAAACAAAGATAGATTGGCAAAAAAATCGAGAAATAGGTGAAAGAATGATCCTAAAAGAATTACAAACGAAATTATTTTTCAATATTTTTTTTTTGTATTTTAAGCCCTCGTGTAACATACTTAATTGAATATTATGTATAATGGCTTACTCGTTTAACTGTTTGGTGGGAAAACTAGATTAGTTTAAAGAAAAATCGATGTTAATTTTTATCATTAAGTTAGTCGATTCAGTTTATCAATATTGTTACAGTTTTTCCACTTTATTAAATTTTTCTTGAATATTTTTATAAGTGTTTTCATATAAAGGTACACGGGTAGTTAAAAATAAATAAAACTAATTAATTAAAATGTACAATTATAACTATGTGAGCGATCATTGAGCTAAAATCTTAAAACAATTTGTGCATTATTATCGTCAGCTTTGATTTTCATTTGTTTTTCGTCGACAAAAAAACAAATGGCTCTTCAAAAAAAGATTGTTCAATTTTTTCTGTGATTTGAGGTCTTGAAGCCTTTTTTGTAATTAATAAATGACATTAAAATATTTTTTTATTTACATTCAAAACATACAGTGACATATCACATTAATATTAGCTTATCGTCAGGAACAATCTTAAAAGAAAATAATTTGGTATAGCATAAATAGTTTCTAACTTTAAATTTAACATTCCATTTTTAAAAAGCCTCATTAAAAACTTTTCGAAATTAATCATAAAGATACAGAAGACAAATTAATAAATGTTTCTAATTACTTAAAATACTTAGTAAAAGAAGCATTACTATGGCAGTTACTTGACCTATCACTTGAAATAGACGAAATAATTCAGAGCATTTCAAATTTTATGAAGCGACAGAAACTTTTTACGATCCACGAGAAATTCCCCAATTTCATTTTATGTAAAAACTCATTAACCTGGTTGTAATATAAAACCTCATATCACAGGAAACTATCTTACGTTTATTACAAACATTCTGAACACAGACAAAGGAAATAATAAAATAGAAAATGTTGCAAATCAAACGATAGTAGACATAAAACTAGGAAGCTAAGTACAAGCTAAGTATAAACTGGATATTAATTTAAGGCTCGAGTGCTTAGGTTGGTAATGTGTAGGCGTGCTTAATTATAGACCGTCATCGCTTACAAACAGGCGAGATAACAGGCTAAACGCTGGCCCATTGCCAAGGAAAACAAAACACGATTGGTATACGTTTTCTGGATTTTGAAGATTCGATGATAGAAAGAGATATTTTTAAACGACTTTGGTGTTCACTATTGGTGGAAGGAGGAGGCGACATCTTCAAAACCCTTTCACTCTAACTTTTCACGTTCAAATCAGCAGATAATATTGGAAATGCACTTGTATATCATTAATTTCTCTCACCTTTAGCAATTTCTTTTAATATCCAGTTCCATTTCTCTCGCATATTCAACAGTATATTTGTATTAGCAATATTTTAATCAGACACACTCGAATAACTACCAAAATCGCTTCTTGGTCTTCCTTACTATAACGTGTTCTCGTGAACGATCGAGATATTTTCTATAAGTTAATCTGATGTACAGGAGTAACTCCTGAAATTGCTTCTTGGGCCTCTCTAGCATAGTTCAAAGTTCAAACTGATTAACTAAACAAATCAAATACTATTTCAACAGCATTCAGTAAATACAGAAAGATGGTAACGATTACTATACAACATTGCACGAAACAAAATTCATCTGCAAATCAATTTGAAACCTATCCAATTTCGTTAGAAACGAATTTCGATTGTTCGGCTGACGTAATACAAAGTTGTCAGTATCCATCGAATCTTTTTACGCCAGGAGGCGAATCTTATTTATCTGATGTAATATAAACAGTAAAACTACCTACGGAGAATCGGGATAATACTTATTCTTAACGCTTATTTCTCTTACATTTTCTTATTGTAAGCCTCCAGAAAGCTACTCTGAAGTCAGGTGAATAAAAAGCATATATAAAGGGGTTTATAGCTGAATTGAACCACCCTAGCCATGTGAGTATGTACATTAGGACTGGATTTACGTAATTACTTGGTATGAAAGGGGTAAGGAGATAGTACAAGAAGAATGGAAGCCAGCATGCAACAAATCCTCCGACAACAAGGCTCAAAGTTTGTGCAGTTTTCGTTTCTCTTCTTAGAGACGACACACGATTATTTTCGACATGTTCTTTCATTGAATGCGTCCGTCTTGTAGTGTTTTTGTATTTGAAATTTGCTTTGAATGTGACGTCATTGTTGTAAAACCGTGATTCCTTCTCTTTCGTCCTATGTTTCTTCTTCTTTTCTGGTCTGAAACAGCACGGGCATTTGTGGTCTTGTGATGAGCAGTCGCTGTGTGCTGTCGAGTTTTTCGACGTCTGTTTTGAAGCTGATTGCCGTAACGACATCTTGTCCGACCCGGATTCAGATTCGGTGCGGATGCAGGAAAGTTTTCCTTTCTGAAACAATTAGGTTTTGTTAGAATTTTGATTTTGGGTAAATGTTGTTTTCCTAAATTATACATATAAATGCAAAAATAACTCTGTCTGTCTGTCTTTTCTTGACACCTAAACCACTGAACCTATTTGTGTGAAATTTGGTACAGACATAGCTTGGAACTCAAGAAAGAACATAAGACAGTTTTTAAACCAAAAATCTGCACGAAGTCACTATTCCATGCGAGAAAAGTCGCTTGCAAAAGCTAGCTTCAAATAAATATTTCTAACTGGTGTTTGGATTGTTATTGTAATTGATAACACTTGTTTATCTATATATAAAAGTAGTAGTTTCAAATCCAGAAGTTATTTCACAAAATTCTTTTCATTCGGCATTTGTTATTTCAATACCTAGACATCGAGTAGCAAAAGTCAAAAATCATTTATTTCAATTAGACCACATTAGGCACTTTTGAACGTCAAGCAAAAAAGGAAAAAAAGTATATAACAAGAGCTTTAAAATTTAGCGTGTCAGTCGGTCCGTCTGTACTCTAGTGAAGCCATTTGCTCTAGCTTAGCCTAGCTTACGAGAATCAATATTAGTATCCATAAATCATAAAACTATTCTGTCTAAAAGGAACTTAAGAAAAGAACAACAAAGATAGATTAATAAAAACTTAGAGCACAGTTTATCTCGTAAGAAAATCTAAGATTTCTTATATTAAGATGAACTTAGTAAAGAACTAGCCAACGGTAATGGATCAAGAGCATTTTATAAAGATTTATACGCTTTTTTTTTTCTTTTGGTAATACACAGAATGAAAAAGCTTTTTTATGGTTAAACGAAGCGAAATAATAAATGCTTGTTCTTTATCATGCTTTATAATGATTTCTTAAATGAATATTTTCTGCAGTTCTATGTAGTTTGAGGTTTCTTCAGGTATATCAACACATAATTAACCTTTTTTATTTGTTGAAGTGGAATATCACATACGACTTCTCCCGTAATGGGTGGGGCATGCTGGCTGGCAGGCAGAAGGTGCATTAGACACTTTATGACTACACACTACTCCAATCCTTAACCAGTTCCGGGCTCATATTCCACCTACGACCCTGGATAATAAACGTTTTATATGACATTTTTAGCCTGCTTTTTTTTAATTTAGAAGACAGGGCCTTCCTTAATCTCATTTGCGTGGCGAAATACAAAGGAAGCTGGCGTAGTATTTTGAAAGTTTGCGGTGTAACGCTAACGAAGTTGGGTCATACGTTTCGAAGTAGCTCTTACATACCAGACACTTTTGACATCATTTAATTTTCCTTACTTGGAAGTTAATTAACTTAAAACTGAAGCTACTAAGTCTGGGAGAGCCGTGTTTCGGCATAAATCAGCCGATTCAATCGCAGTAATACCACGGCAAGAACTTCCACAACTCCAACGTTGCGTTACGCCATGTGAGTGAGGTTGTCGAATGCTCAATATTTCCCACACCGCCATCTCCTGAATCCCTAAATCCCCAAAACGTCTTATCCCCAAAAGGCCAGCAAGGAACTTTTGGTCTTCCGAATGTGCAAAGGCGGCGTCGATTGCTTACCATCAGGTAGTCCGTCTGCTCGTTTTCCGCCGTAATACATTTAAAAGCAACAAAAACACCTGAATGAAAGGCTTTTTAATTTCCCACCAATTTAGGCCGGCTCTTTGGGAACGCTTTTACAACGCGAGTTACTTCATTCGGAGAGATTTTTAGACAAAGGAATGTCCTTTTCTCTGTAATGAATTTTGTTCTTTACTAACGGCCCGCTCCAGCTTCGGCTAGTTGCTATTTCCGGATGTTCCCGGTAAATGTAAAAGGAACACAATAAAAAAGGATAATCCAAATTTAGTCTTTTGTTTTAGAGATAATAATACATGCGTGTAGTTATGTTTTTTTATGTAATTGATCGGCAAACGAGCTGACAGATTACCTGATGGTAAGCAATCAACGCTGCCCATGGACACCCGCAACGGAGGAGTAACGAGTGCGTTGCCGACCTTTTAGAGATTAGGAATTTGGAGATTTAGGGATTGAGGAGGGATTGGGAGCGGGGAAGGATTGGGCCTCCGGTAACCTCACTCACAGGGCGAAACACAACGCTGTGGTTGTTTCACGCCGGTCTTCTGTGAGGCCGTGGTATCACTCCGGTCGAGGCGACCCATTCGTGCCAAAGCATGGCTCTCCCACACTTTGTGCATATGTTTTAGTGATTCTGTTGAACAAGTAATTAGTTTAAATGATGCTTATTTAAATACCTAACTAAATAAAACGTGTTGACTGCATGGTAGGCGCGCAACGTGTCAGTCGTTCGATTCGCACAAGGAACAACTTTTTGTGTAGTACTAAAATCACAAGATGTATGTGAAATTTTATGTTCTTATACGCATCTCTAAGACACAGGTATAGTTTTAGTTTCGGACAACGTTTTTAACAAACTAACTATATTTATACCTCGCTTCATTCCGTTCGTACTAAAAACAAAAAATAACTATTCGTTATCACCGCCATCACCAGCTTATCAGTGCTTTTTCTCACACGAATAAGGGTAAAAAATATTACCATTAATCCCCACGCTTGTTCAAGGCAGTTCGATAATCTTGAATTTAAAATAAATTACAAAATAATAAGTCCTTTCCTTACGACGATTTCCTTCTGTGTGTGAAAGTAGGTATAACTTAAAAAATGTAGCATTGATGGTTGCCAGGTTTCGAACTTCCATCGTTATTAATGAGAAGCGGACGCCTTAACCTTAATAATATAATGATTAGAATATTAGTTATTAAATAAACTTAATAAAGCTCTCTTCCTCTCTCCTACTTTTACTCCTACTTTTACTTTAACTTTTACTTTTAGTTATACTTTGCTGTGCCCGACAGGGTCCATTATGATCTCATAATTTATAATTTACCACCTAAGAAACACATTGTGGAATGCAATAAATGATTGAGTATTGAGTATTGAGTATTGGAGAATCAATTCATTAGTAGAGTTAGATTTAAACCAATGATAAATATTTTGTCAAAGATGATATCAAATATAACTTCATGGTATTATTAACCCCTACGAATCTACGAAAGTTGGTAATATTTTACTTTTAAAAAGAATTTTACACTCACCAAGCACCATTTAACGCGACACAGGAGAGAACCGTAGCGGAGCTGCGATTAAAAAAAAATATCGAGGCACAAACAAAAAAGAAAAGTCAGAGCTAAATTCAAAAAAATTCTGAACATTTTCCAAAATAAAACTTTTACATTGACACAAAAAAAACATAAATCACTGCTGAAAAATACGCCTTTCATCTGAATGAGTACTGAAATGGCTGAAGAACGGCTTTGTGAGGCTTTCCTATCTCCATACATATATTTCAGGTGTATGACCTAGAGACGACCTTGTCGTTTGCATTACTTCGTAGGATTACCAAAAAGGTTGTTTTTTAATCTAGATATGTATCTATAATGTCTTACATAATTATACATAATATTAGTGTGCACAGTATTGGCTGTATCAATTAAGTTTTTTTTGTTTGACTTCAGTGCTCGGGTAACGATTTTAAACCAGTACAAATATGTGTAGCTTCATTGGCAGCAAAAAGGTTTACTAATAAAAATTAAACTATACTAGATGTTTGTATTTTTAGTCAAGAAGCAGTAAATAAAGTTAAATGAATATTTTATTCAGTTTTTTTGGACAAGTAGCATTTATGAAAAGTTTCATGTTGAAGTCGAAACGTCAAATACTTTTATATCCCAGCTGGGGTTGCGGGGCAAGCGCTATAAGGCACCGCAGCCTCAGCCTAGAATAGAAGAAGGAACGGAGGGTTTTAGTCAGTATGAGTCTGACACTGAGAACCAAGTTATTTGACGATGATCCCCACACAGAAAAAAAAAAAAAGAGAAAAAAAAGATGGGGTTTGCGGATATAAGGATTGGGAAGGAATAGGGGAAGGGGAAGGATTGGGCCTCCGGTAACCTCACTCACACGGCGAAACACAACGCTGGTTGTTTCACGCCAGTTTTCTGTGAGGCCGTGGTATCACTCCGGTCGAGCCGACCCATTCGTGCCGAAGCTTGGCTCTCCCACACTTTTTTTTTATGGTATAAGTCGGCAAACGAGCAGACGGATTACCTGATGGTAAGCAATCGGCGCCGCCCATGGACACCCGCAACACCAAAGGAGTTACGAGTGCGTTGCCGGCCTTTTGGGGATGGGGGTTGCGGATTCGGAAGGGATAGGGGAAGGGGAGGGATTGGGCCTCCGGTAACCTCACTCACACGGCGAAACACAACGCTGTGGGTTGTTTCACGCCGGTATTCTGTGAGGCCGTGGTATCATTCCGGTCGAGCCGACCCATTCATGCCGAAGCATAGCTCTCCCACACTTCACTCAATCACTTCAAAATATCCATTCTTCACACAAAAAAAAACTAGCCTTCTTTGAAAAGCTTAAGAACTTATGCCCACTAAACCAATAAGGCTACCTAAACAAAAATACGGAGAAATAAGAAGAAGGCTAACAAATGAATCGTGAAATTAAATTGGAACAAAAAGTGATTAATGATCGCACTAATGAACATTGATCTAGCGGCCAAATTTCCGTTCGCAAAGAAAACAAGAACTGTAGATATTTAATGCTAGCTTTCGCAGATGGTTTTGGCTGTGTTCTTTACCTACATACATATACTATTATAACTTTGGAATGCAGTATTCGAATGCAGTATTCGTATAAAGCGCAGCGTAGGACGTCCACACACGCAAGGTGGACAGACGACCTGATTAAGGTCACAGGAAGCCGCTGGATGCAGGTCGCTTCCAACCGGCCTATTTGGAAGTCAATGGGGGAAGCCTATGTTCAGCAGTGGACGTCTTGTGGCTGATATGATGATGATGATTCGAATGCCTACAACATGAACATTCATGAATGTCATGAAGTCATCAAAATCTCAAAGTTTTTTTATTTCAAAATGGGCTGACATTTGCCTACGCCTGGTAAAACGATAAAGCGACCTACGATGGAGCATGCCTAATGCCTACCTATTCACTATTTGGGGATCGGAGAACACATTAAACTAATTTGTTATTCATCATCATCATCATCAGCCTATAAGTGCCCACTACTGAGCAAAGGCCTCTTCTCACACAGAGAAGGTTTGAGCATTAATCACCACGCTTGCTCAAGGCGAATTGGCGATTTCAAACTTATAATTAGAAAGTACAAGTCCAGGTTTCATCACGATGTTTTCCTTCACCGTATGTCAATGGTTGTATAATCATAGAAAGTACGTATGATTCGGAAAAAAAAAAGTCACATTGGTTCTTGCTAGGTTTCGAGCACCCTCATGCATGAGAAGCACCTTAACCTCCGGGCCACCATGACACATTTGTTATTATATTCGTTTTAATATTTTACTTCTTGTACCTTATACCCGCAATTGTGACCACGTAGTACTTTTGTTTATAGTAATTACCGACCTGCCTTGTTTACAGAGGGCAGTTTTAATACAAAACTTCTCCACTGCTCTAAATAGATGTCATTCTAAGAGCTTATTTTTCAATGGTTAGATAAAAGTTACCGTAGGGAATAATTATGATGCTGTCGCGTCAGAATGTTTGTATAAGACAGTGAGGGCAACAATATTATTCCTCAGATAGCATTTATCTGACATCGAAAAATCAGCCCTAAATGTTATGAACGTTCCACTTCAATCACTCTATCTGTAAAAAACTGAATCAAAATCCGTTGCGTATATTTAAGCAGACATAGGGTCATAAACGGATAGAGAAAGCGACTTTGTTTTATACTATGCTTTGATTCGTTGGGATGTGAATTTGAATTTTTTCTCAAGTCTCGTTAGTAAAAAAAAACAATGATAAAACTAGTACCCACTAGTGGTAATAAAAATCTGAGTAAAGTTCTAGAGTTTCTAATCAAGGGTATTTTAAAATGTAGATAAAGAAAACCTGAGATGGAAGAACCAGCAAATATTTTCAAGACAAGCAGCAAAGAAATCAAGCCACGTACCAATGATACACACACAGTTCATTACAGTGTATTCTCAAAGAACATTCTAGATTTCTTTCTGAACATACATCCACTATGAAGCTTGGAATTCTGTGCTAATTAGCATGAAAAGCGTACTACAGTTAAAACAATACGAGGCACAAGTACTCGTACATTCTCATAGTGCTAACTGCATGGTGTGAATGCATAAAGATGTGTTGTCGCATTCTAAATAGGGATTTACATTTACGCTACATTTCTGTTTTTTATGTTTTCTAGAGCTGATTGTCGCTTCTTTTCTCATCATGCTTTTGCTAGGTTATAATTGACAATGGAGGAAATGGTGATAATAATACTTTTAGGACATTTAAAATGCCGTGTGGCATTCATTGGCTGCAGAGTAGTATGTTATCACCGCCCTTCTTTGTCTCATGGGTAACCTAAACCCATTAAAGAATGACATCTATGATAATCCCAACCTATTAATAAACAACGATATATTATTTTAACCGCCTGCTATACATGTACCTAAACCTCTAATGATGAGCGTATGACGCATTGCGTTCCGAGAGCAATCAGGTCTTTAAAATAGCGGCTGATGCCCGGCCGGAGTTTGAGATCAAGCCTGGCTTGGAGGAGGAGTTGGAACAGGGTCATTTTTTGCCAGAAAGAGTGTCAAACTCTCTTTGTTGCCTCACTATACGCTGTAGAAGTAATTTCATACATATCGCCCATTAAAAAACAGAGGGCCTACCATGACGTGTTAACGCGTCTATCTTGGGCGAGAAAGAGGGATGGCGCTATAAAAGGTGTATAGCTCTATCCCTCTACAGGCTTCTACAGGTTAAACAATCCAATGATGGTAGACCTAGACCATCATCAGTCTAGATCTAGTCCGTCATTGGAATTTTACTGGCCTTAAGGCAAGAAAACGTTTATAATGGGTGTTTTTAACTTAGATTAATATCAAAAACAGCCATACAACAACAGGCACTGTTTTGTTTATCTGCCTAATTCGCGAAAACAACTCATTTCCTCCGCATTATAAGCTTTCGCTTATTTTTCTTTCATAAGCGGTAAAACGTTTATTTTTACATACTTATTATGTACATACTTAATAAAAATATTCGTAATAAATAAATGTGTCTCTCATTTCTTTTATATCCTTAGATTATGAGTGGGTCATATTTTAGGTGAATATTTGACGATTGACCTTGGATACATTTTTGTAATGGTTGATTAGTAGAGTTGGTTTATGTCACTTAGTATAATCGATGTCTCTTGGATTATGGGCATCCTCTATAATTTTAGCCTTAATTTATCTCGAAGCTCACTTTGTAAATGGGATCGATATGATAATTTAAAAGATATAGGCCTTCTTGGCCTTTACCAAATCATCTTCTGCAATAGCTGGGTGCGTGGGAAAAACTGCGACTTCCTTAGCTATCTGATTCGCAGAAAGAGAAGAAGGCTTAACATCTTCTGATATTCTGATCAAATCTTACTGCTATAACACGGAGACTGAAATATAATTATAGTACAAAAAAAATAACAAGATTGGTGAAACTGTAAATTGGTGGTATTTGATTCTAACATACCACACGACACTTCATTAAGGGAAATCTAATCGGAATAATGATTCGACACCGCATAGTGAAGAAGCATAATGAGAAGATTTTACATTTGCTTAGTTTCCAGTCATCATTGTTTGGGGTGGACAGACAGACAAATAAGATGTCTCCTCCAAGCGATTCCATCTTGCACAGATTATAGACTACGATACACCAATATGGGGGATACTTGAGACTACTTTAAGAACTCAACCAAAGACTCTTATTTCAAGATCAACAAAGAACCTTTTGAAAGTCAAGAATTCAGTTCAAAGGTATGTCTGTCAGTCCTTTAGAGTATCTGACAGCTATCTAGTTGAAGATTTGGAGATGTAGAAAGGAAAGGAACGATTTATTTTTTGCTGTGTTATTTTTTTAACTGCCTTGTTGATAGAACGAGATAAGCTATTGGGTTTGGTTCTTTAGTCGGATTTAAAACCAGGCACATTGTTTTTTTTTACTTTGATAATGAAAAATGGGTGCTTTTTTATGTGAGGTAAACGAGGATTACCTGATGGTAAGCAATCAGCGCCGCTCATGGACACCTGAAACTACGGAGGAGTTATGAGTGCGTTGTGTGACCTTTTAGGGATTAGCGATTTGGGAGATTTAGAGATTGGGGAGGGGAAGGATTGGGCCTCCGGTAACCCCACTCACATGGCGAAACACAACGCTGTGGTTGTTCCACGCTGGTTTTCTGTGAGGCCGTGGTATAAATCCGGTCGAGCCGACCCATTCGTGCCAAAGCTTAGCTCTCCCACACTTTAAAACACTTGTTAAAGTGTAAATTGTACGATTTAAAAGGCACGGTTTGTCGTCTATGGCATTTATTTTCACAGGAATCAAAAACAAGACTCAAATTTTGACTATAAGACAAACTGCTAAAATAGAAAACTCAAAAATAATTTACGACCACCAAGCATTTTCTTGAAAACTTGAAATTTAATAAGTCTAGCAACGTCGTGTTTGTTTGTTGACACAAAGCGCAATGTTAGTCTCAATAGAAAAGTCTCGACTATTTGTGGCTTATTGAATACGTGGTACCACCCCTTAGGGGTCAAAAGCGTGAATTGTATACCTATACAGTGTATGTAGCCATTAATACATTGATTTTATGTGTCTGTGTTTTTGATGTAGTTGTTCTTTTAACCGACATTTTTTATACGTTGCGCAACGCTAGGAGTTTCTCATTTAGATTTCGTAGGTGCTTTGACTACAGCCGGGGTTGCGGGTTGAGCGCAATGAGTCACCGCGACCTCGGCCCAGAGCAGGAGAAGAAACGGGGGGTTTTTTAGTCAGTAAAAGTCTGACACTCTCTCTCGCCCAATCTTGGGCGGTAGAAGTCATTTGATGATTTTCCCCTGACAAAAAAAAGGTGCTTTGACTAAGGTATTCCTTAGACATGACGTTGGATGCAAAGTAATGAGTCAGAAACCAAAGACAAAGACACCGTTTATGTCAATGTCTATACCATATTTTCATTTGTTTTCATACAATGTCATCTTTTGGTAGATGCAGTTTAAAAATCGGTTTTATTCGTAAGTGCAGAATATGCTTTAACGGTAAATCAAATTAAGCGAAAATTTTAAAATAGTTTTAAGAAATATACAAGTATTGTCATGGTGGCCCAGAAGTTGAGGCCTTCTCCTCGTGCAGGACGACGTGAGTTCTAAACCTGTTATTGACACTGTCTTATTCTCGATTTATATTAAATTTAATTTTCAAGATTGTTTAGACACCACACATAAGGCGAAGGAAGGACAAACAATAAGTGAGTGAGGATATCTGGACACAATAGCTTCTAATTATAAGTTCAAAATCGCCAATCCGTGTACACCAAGCGTGCTTAATAAAATTCAAACCTCCCCAAGTTGGGAATAAGACCTTGGTTGGTTATGATGATGACAATCAATTTTATCAATTAAAAAGGAAAGTAAATGACAAATAGTAAAGTTCTATAAAGATTTAATCCTTACAGGAGTAGAAGTCACGAATAGAAACGAATTGCTTTAGTGTGCCACCAATCTAGTCGACAAAAAGTTTGAAATTGCCAATCTAAAATCAGTTTGGCGACGGCGACGCAGAGTGCAGATCACGACCAGCTATTGAAACCGTTTCTATTTTACGAAACAGGTATGTGATGAATTCATTGGATTTCCAAAGATAACAACGACTTTTTAATCTTATAAGCCAGGGAATTTTTCTTTAGATGTCAGTTATATCTTGTCAACTCATTGCATATTAAACAAAACATAAGAAATACGAGGAAATGTATAATAAAATATCAAATTGGTTGAGTCAAAATGATCAGAATTGTGGGCACAATTAGGTTCAAGTAATGTCGTGGTGGCCCGGAGGATATAGCGTCCGTCTCTCAAGCATGAAGATGCGGGTCGAAACTTGGTAAGTATCAATGCGACTTTTCCGTATTAGATTTACTTTCTAAGTTTACTTAGACACCAGTAAAAAACGATGAAGGAAATCATCGTGTGAAAATCTGGATTTACTACGCCTAGAACAAGCGTGGTGATCGATGCTTAAACCTTATCCGTGTGAGTAGAGGCCTTTACTCAGCAGTGAGCACCAGCTGATGCCGTGTGATATGATTAGGACCAGACAAAAAATAAAGAGGAGGGACTACACAATTTTTTTTTTTTGGTTCTGCTTTTAAAAATACGTAATGTATGAAAAATCAATAACCAACCTTACTACATTTTGTGCTACTGGCTAGTTGTTGGTGTCTCCTAGCCACCACGCAGGATATCCTCGCGTACACATACACCATGACTGCCATGGGAAGGAAGAACGAGCCCATGGCTGAGAACACCACGTAACCAGGATTCTGGTTGTACCTGCAGTTGCCATTCTGGTTGTGGTCTGGTTCATACCTGGGGACAGAAGAATTTGCAGTAAATTTTTACGTCTTCCTTAATGAAGTGAATTGCTATATTACTTAAATCGGTATAATTCATTTTTATTCATATATACTATTATTAAAAAGCTGAAGATATTGTTTGTTTGAATTCCCTAATCTCCGAAACTACTGGTTTAAATCGAACCATTTTTTTTCCTTTGTTAGTCCATTTATCGAAGAACGCTATAGTAATAGTAGTATAAGTAGGGGCAGAGCAGCGGGTCAAACCGCGCGAGAGTTTTTGGTATATAATAATGTCAAACTATACTAGAGCTGACTTCAACATAACCACAGAAATTTAAGCAGAACTAATGTATTGATATCTCTAGCCACCGTTACATTCGTATTATGGCTCACGGTGGACCTTACACGCATGATCGGTTACTCATTCACCCATGAAAGGGTCAGCAAGATTTTCTGGCCTTCCACTTACATATATAAGGGTCTAAGAGTTTACCTTTCCGACCTTCGGAAATACCTTAATTATCCGATGACCTTGAAAATTCAAAATCTTTTCAGGAAATTCCTGTTAATCATGTTCAAGCTTTAAAATTTTACACCTAATTTGATCGAGGTTACTTTGAAAAATGAACAGTTTTCAGTGCCTTAATTTACGTTTACATTTACTACTTATGTGTCCTTAATTTAACTCAGAGGAATGCTGAAAAAAATTTAATAAAAAAATAAAATCATAAATTTTTACTTTTTGTGTTGTTTTGTCATATTGTATCCGTCATCTTAATTAACGGGGACATATTTGCTCATATTAATGATAAAACGTGTCCGAACTTTAAAATTTAACCTGACATAGCCCAAAGTTCTCGTTGATGTAAGCAAAAAGATTTTTTCTTACCAACCAACTGGATTTGGGTAAGGCTTTGGCTGTAAGTACTTATAATAAATCTTCATAATTACTACATTTCCCTAAATTTATTCTCCATGCGTACTTTAATAACTTCCAAGCCTGCCTTATTGTCAATATCAACTTCGGAAAAAACTCATCTCGAAAGATTTTATGCCATTATTATTTTTATTTTCGTCCTCAGATCCGTCATTTAAATCTTCTTTAGGTTGCATGTACTCGTAAATGGCACCATTGGATTAATATGAAAAATGGAGTTTTGACAAAATTCATGTCATCATCACCATCCATCCAGCCTATAAGAGCCCACTCCTCACACTGAAAAAGTTTGAGCATTAATCACCGCGCTTGTTTAAGGCGGATTGGCGTTTTTTTTTTTTTTAAACGTTGCTCCATTCTAGGATTTTCTTCTGTGTCGTGGGTGCACAACACACCCAGACCCGACACGACAATTTGTGGAACACACAAAGTGTTGTTCCGTGCGGGAATCAAACCCGGGATACGTTGCACGGCAGCCAGTTGCCCAGCCACCGCACCAACCGTGCAGTCAAAGAATCAGTCAGTCAGTCAAAAGAGAAAGTTAATAAAAAATTATAAGTCCAGATTTTCGAAATGTTTGCCTTCACCATAAGTCAGTGATGTCTAAATAATCATACAAAGTACATAAAACTCGGGCAAAGTCTGAACCCTCATGCATAAGAAGCGGGTGTTTTTGGGCCACCGCGACGCAAATTCATATACAATCTGTTAATCTGCAATACTTTTTCTAGTTTAAAGAATTATTAGGATTTTTTAATTCAATTATCTGACAACTATTTAGTATCGCGTTTCAGATCCCATGCTATTAAGCATGGGATCTGAAACGCGATACTAACATGACATAATCCATGGAAAGTGGATATTATTCTTATACCTTTCCTTCACCAAGCTTCGGGAAATATGAGACGCGAATTTCCTGACATTTATTATAACCAAGCTCCTCCATTAGTGTACGCAATAACATCAGTGAACACAATGTATTCCTGCATCCGTGCCAAGTCGGGTAAGGTCACCGCACAGCAATTTGTAAACGGAAATATGCAATTCTGTTTGTTCATTAAAGTATTTTTGGTTTTACTGCTGTAATACTAACCCAGAAGAATATAGATAGCAATTATTCTTCATGTGAATTCTACGAATTTATTATCCGATTTTATCAGAAACAGACTTTGCAAGGGCGGATATTTTACTAGGCCTAGCCCTAAAGATAAAAAGTTATCTAGGGAATAGTATCGGATAGGTATCTGACTGCACGGTTGGTGCGGTGACTGGGCAGCTGGCTGCCGTGCAACGTGTCACGGGTTCGATTCCCGCATGGAACAACACTTTGTGTGATCCACAAATTGTTGTTTCGGGTCTGGGTGTCATGTTTATGTGACATTGTATGTTTGTAAACGCACCCACAACACAGGAGAAAATCCTAAAAAAAGGTAGTTATGATGCTATCGCGTCACAATGTTTGTATAAAACAGTGACAGCAACAATTTTATTCCTCAAAAAACATTTATCTGACTATTGAAAAATCAGCCCTAAGCCAAGTGAAATTATGAGACTAAAATAAAACGTGGCTTAGAGATAATCATACTTCAATTTATATGAGAATATCTGGTGTGAAGTGATTATGTTAATGATAATTCTAAAACTGATTCTTTGAAAGTACACAGCCAATCACCAAACAATTTCCCTAAGATTTGCCCCTCTCTCCGCCACCTATCCTAAAATCCTAAGTCTTAAATAGCGTACCCCCAAAACCCGGCACACTCGTTTCTGGTATTGCAGCTGTCTGGTATGGCAGATGACACTGATTACTTACCATGAAGTTTTTATTTTTATTTTTATGTAATAGGAGGGCAAACGAACAGACAGATTACCTGATGATAAGCAATCAACGCCGCCCATGGACACCCGCACAATGTAAGAGTTACGAGTGCGTTGCCAAACTTTTGGAGATTGGGGGACGGGAAGGATTAGACCTCCTATCACTTACCTGGCGAAACATAACGCTGTAGTTATTTCACGCCAGTTTTATGTGAGGCCCATGGTCGAGCCCACCCATTCGTGCCGAAACATGGCTTCCCCACACTTGCACGTTTACTAGTTTTCCACCATATGCTAAACACATTTTGATAGACAAACCTTACTCTTTTGTAAAACTATAGAAACAAAATCTCACTCACCAACCAAACATAGGAGGACATGTGATAGCTCCAGCAGCGATCCAGACAAAGAATATCATAGTGAGAGCCAACTTCTTGGATCTTCTTCTTCTGGAGTACGTAAGAGGCCTGGTGACGGCCAGGTAGCGGTCCACGCTGATGGCACAGAGGGAGAGTATGGAGGCCGTGCAGAGGAGGATGTCCAGACTAATCCAGATGTCACAGAGGATCCAACCTAACTCCCATTTACCTGTTTAAAAGAGAATATATTAGCTTGATACTGATAGGTAAAAAAGACATATTATATATATTAATCTTTTGCGGTATGCATTTTAGAAAGACACGCCTGCTGCGTAGCCCTCGTTGAATGTTGATAAAAAGCAGAATTTGTATTATTTTGATACCAAACTTAAACCAAATTGGTCAGTCATTTTTCCGTGAAAAAATAACAAACATTCTCATAAACTTTCACATTTATAATATTAGTATTGGTAACACCTTTATGGACCAGTGTACTTCCTCGGAAGCAACCCGAGAACTACTCTTATCCGATATGCTTCGATGACCAGCAGCAAATAAATGATGAAAATTAAAGGAGTATCCATGTTAGGATACTAAGTAAATGAAACTTAAAGTGAAGTTAAATCAGATATTCGTGTGACTGCCTGACTGGATCCAACACTCCAGCCGATTATTTTTTATCCGTAGTGAGCCGTCGTTAGACCACTTTCTGACCAGGTGGCATGCGAGTATGTGACCTATGATGGAGCATGCTTACCCAGAAGCAACCTATTAACTCGGGCTTTGAAGACACCAAGGCAGATACTCCCTTCGGGGAACACAGATGTTGGCAAAGAATTTCACTACTAAGCGGTTCTGATGAAGCACTCTCTCACAGTCAGTTGATTCCAGAATAAACCCAACAGTTGTATTGTGGACCACTTGACCGAAACAAATGATAATTATACCCACCTACATAAGTGTTGTAGTAATAGCTATGCTTAACCCCCAAAATGTTCGTTCGTTAATGTTATTTTACCTTCTCCGCAGAGTGTCCATTAGGATGGAAACCGCAAAAAACAGGCATTTGTGGTGAAAACGGACATCGAAAAACTAGACTAAAAGGCACCTAATTTTTATTTCATTTTGATAAACCTAAAAGGTAAATACTTTTACTTTGGTAAAAGTATCGCTAAATTATTTTGTTAATTCGTAAGGGATTTGGAATAGATTCTCAATTTAGAGAAAATACTATTTTAGTTCTAAAAAAAGTCTCCACGTATTAAGTGCTTTACGACAGCTTATTGGGATTTTCATTCCTTGATAAAGTATCTTCGTTTTTCTCAATAATTACTGGCTCGATTCTCAAGTTGCTGCAAGAGTGAGAGATCTAGAGATTAGATTCGCAAATCGGTAAGCACTATCAAGGTTTTTTCAGTTTTGTGAATTATTTTAATGTGCATTACATTTAAGTGTTGGAGAACCATGCTTCGGCACGAATGGGTCGGCTCGAACGAAGTGACAACACGGCCTTACAGAAAACCAGCGTGAAACCATCACAGCGTTGTGTTTCGCCTTGTGAGTGACGTTACTAGAGGCCCGATCCTTCCCCTCCAACAAACCCTCCCCAATCCTAAAATCGGCGCCGCACTCGTAACTTCTCTATTGTTGCGGGTGTCCATGAGCGGAGCTGATTGCTTACCATTAAAAAAATTAAGCCTTTCTTCCTTCCTGCCTCAAAAAAAAAAAGCTAGTGAAAGGTATTTTAATATAAATTTTTATTATAATTTAATTTAATATAAATAACATTATAAATAAATGAACATGACTATTAATCACTGAAAGATTAAAAGTAGTGCCATCATTCTAAATAAGGTATGAATGGATCACAATTTTTCTATAAATATTGTTAATATTTCCTTTCACTTGCATTTTTTCGTTTGTTTATAAATATATATTTTCACATACACTTCACATAGATCCAGATTCGAAATAACAAACCGTACGAGATTCATACCCACACGTCACTTTGTATGGTAGCCACCTCGTCAACTGTGCAGTCAACGTCATAATACACGATGTTTTTCTTTTGTTATGGTAATATATTATTATACTTTCTTCGGTGTATATTAATAAAGTAAAATATTCCATGGCATTACGATTTTGGATATTAATATACTGATTGGCGACGTAGCAACCTCTACACTCCTAAATCTTAATTTATATTCTATTCTAATACAGGGTGTAAGGGACAGCCTTCCGCAAACTGATAGGGTGGATTCAGTATATCGTCTTAAGTTGACCGGTACATGAAATTATTTCAGGAACGTTATGGGAATCCAATTAAACCGATTTGTTTCATTACCTTACACGCAATGTATCGCTACCACCGCAAACGCACGCAGCGAACGGCAGCGCTTTTAGTATTATTACTTTACACTATGGGCAGCGCCGCGACCTTACCTTTCGGACAAACGGTCGCGCTCGCGCCACGTTTTAATAAAAATAAACTATTATTTACAAGATAGCCGCATTACTTACAAAAGACAATTTAATAATCGCGCTCGCGCCACGTTTTAATAACAATAAATTATTATTTAAAAGATAGCCGCATTACTAACAAAAGAAAATCTAACAATCACAACATGGTAACTGATAAATGATAAAAAAAGAAAAATGCGTAGGTACCTTAGAATCGCTCCGGTTTCCGGCTCTGGAAAGCATTTGTGATGCGGTCTCGCATTTCGTACTCACTTGCACACGCACTCACAAACACTTTTTCTTTTACGTACAAAAAGGGGTCCAAATGGGTTACGTCTGGGGATCGTGCTGGCCACGGTTGCGGTCCAAACCTACCTAAACTACGTTTAAATAGGAAAGCACTGGTAAGTGGTAGCGTCTCGTTACGTTAGCGAACCAATTCCAAAATCCACGTAGGTATTGGTCTTCCGGCGCCTTTTTGTCTGGGAACAATGGGCTGGTTTTCTAGCAAGCGTTGATAGTCACCAGTAATTATCCTGGAGTCTGATGGATGCCGCCGGTCAGGATACCTACACTACTACAACACATTATCATCTCCCCATAATCACGCGCGCTAAACGTACCTAGGTAGTAATTTCGCACAATTTCTACAACAAAACTTCACTACACTTCACACACTACATAACTAATAAAACTTAACAACACTACTTATAATAAAACTTTTAAGCCGAATGCGCGAGCGATCCGTACCAACACACGCTCGCGGAACATAAACAGTAACATCGCAGCAAGGCACAATGGCGACTGCATGTGATGAGACACACACAAACATAAATCTGTTGCCAATTACACGAAAATTAGGTACAAAATTTCGGGGTAAAAAATAAAAAAATATGCATGGTCGTAATTTATCATTCTGTTATTTTTTGTAGAGAAATGAATTGATTAAATCAATTTAATTCTAATTTCATTGTTTAGTTAATTTAGAATAATAAAAGTGCAGTGTGATAGAAAGCTGTGCTTCCATTCCAGGGATATTGTGTTTAATTTCTGGCTCGACTATCAATTCATGGCTATTGTGAAGCCATGTAAATCTGTAAGTAGTTTAAAAACTAGCCAGTAATCGCTTAAAAAGAACAATCAATTAATAAATAAGGTAGTATTTGTAAATGCTTTAAAATTAAAACTAGACTAATCTTTATTTATTTTTTATTCAATTTATGTGCGCGACAAGATTTTCATTAATTGATTAATGAAAATCTCATCAATGTGATTATGAATGCAAAGGAGTTCTCAAGTTTTAGATAAATTTCGATAGTTCTAACATTTTCGTTTACAAAGGTGGAAAGGTAGAAGGTAGAAGAGGTAACAAAAGTTAAAAGTTGGCAACACTGGTTCAATCGACAGAAAGGGACGCAGCTATTCTGTACGTTGGACGGGATCGTAGGTATACCTACACGCGGCGATCGGCGCGGTGGGGCACCGAGCCGCTGCGCCGTGACCGCGGTGCGGTGAGTTCAAACGACTCGCGCTAGGTAGAAATTGAACAGCTGATTTCATGCGTAGTTCTTTAGAGAATTCACACAACCATTGCGTATTTTTTTGTTTTAGCTGTGTTATTTACATTAATGTTATTCTTCATACATAGAATGTAATTATACATTGAAATAGAGGTGTAGGAACTGAAAAAACGAAAAAAAAATGAAAATTTTCCTGAAAGAATTTTCACTGGAATATGATTCAGAATAAGGAGCTGAATGCACCCTGTTAATTTGTGGAGGGCTGTCCCTTACACCCTGTATAAGTTAAGTGACAATAAAAAAGAAATAAAACGAATTTATGATAGTATAGGCATTTAATTAAATAGTATATAAACCTTTTGTGTGTTTAAAGGGGATTTACGCGAGATATAATATACCTAGTTTCTATTGTGTGTAATACTTGGTGTATTCAACTGGTTAATATTATTACATTAATAAACACGTATTTTATAACGTTAATATTTAACCTTACAATCGTCGTAATGCGAGTCACAATAGAAAAACAATAGATGCAATCGCTTGGGATTGGATGTAATGATAATATTTTTTTTATTATTTTAATAAATATTTTTTCTATATTTTTTTTTATAATAACGCCCCTTACTTAGATTTTCTCCTGTGTCGTGGGTGCGTTTACAATCATACAATTTCACATGCACATGGCACCCAGACCCGAAACAACAATTTGTGGATCACACAAAGTGTTTTTACGTGCGGGAATCCAACCCGCGACACGTAGCACGGCAGTCAGTTGCCCAGCCACCGCGCTAACCGTGCAGCTTATTAGGGATTTAAAGACAAGGGATTTGAGGATTAAGGATGAAGGAGGGGGGGAGATTGATTGAAGGCTAATAATAGATTAACCACCACTCAGATCCCCTTTGACGCTTTCTTCTTACCCAGCAGCCTCTTGATATATCGAAAAAATATTTTACTAACCAATTATTGTAAGTACAGTTCTACATGTAAAAAAATAAGCAATTTCCTCTAAGTAAATTAGAGATGTTTCAATATCAAAGAATACGATTTTTGATGTGTAATAAGTACTTGTAAAAAAACGGCTGAATGCGAGTCTGATTTGCCAATGAAGTGTTCCGTAGCAGGTCACATACTGTTCGTTGTATCTTTAGTAGATGTTTTAATAATTTTAAGTGGCATGCATAATGTAATTGCCTAATAATCATGCAGTGTACACATGTGTAGGGATGCGGTCTTGATCTGTTTTACT